CTTCAATAAGCTAGAAAAGAATGTAACAGTAATATGGGATGACGAGTGCCAAAAAGCCTTTGAAAAGATCAAAGCCTATCTCGCAAATCCTCCCGTATTAGCACCAGCACTTCCCGGAATATCTCTTAGGTTATATTTGACGGTTACCAAAGAGACAATGGGAGCCATGCTAGCACAAGAAGTAGAAGGCAAAGAGAACGCAATATATTACCTAAGAAAAAAGACGCTCGAATACGAAACACGCTATACACCGCTCAAGAAATTGTGCCTCGCCTTGGTGTGGGCCACAACTAAGTTAAGACATTACATGTTGGTGCATACCGTTTTCGTAGTCTCCCGATTAGATCCCCTCAAGTATCTGTTCGAGAAATCTACACTCAATGGACGCATATCAAGATGGATAGTCAATCTAGCCCAATTTGATGTAAGGTTTATGCCACAAAAAGCTATTAAAGGATCCGTGGTGTCAGACTTCCTAGCAGATTTTCCAATAGAAGACTCGACGCCAATACAAGACAATGAATTTCCAGATGAAGACTTAATGGTCACTGAAGATGATACTTGGACCTTGTATTTTGACGGAGCCTCAAACCAAAAGGGATGTGGTGTTGGAGTACTACTAGTATCACCTAAAGAGGACCATGTTCCAATCTCCATAAAGCTTGATTTCGACGTTACCAACAATGCTGCTGAATATGAAGCATGCGTGGTAGGCCTTGAAACATTTTTGGCATTGGGAGTAAAGAAATTAATGATATTCGGAGACTCCTCTTTGATCATCAATCAGATATCTAAAAGGTGGAAAGTAAGGAGCGAAAGCCTAGCCCCTTACCAAACCTATTTGGAAACTCTTACTGATCAGTTAGAGAAGGTAGAATATACATATCTACCTAGAGAGGAAAACCAATTTGTCGATGCCTTGGAAAGATTAGACTCAATGGTTAGGATTCCCACGGAAATCGAGCAAATGCCTCTAACTATCGAAAAAAGGCACAAACCAACATATATCCAGGCTATAGAAGACGACGACTTAGTCTAAGAAGAAGAAGAAGAAGAAGAAGAATCGTGGTACACGGACATACTCAATTATGTCACCAATGGAGAATACCCTCCTCATGCTGACAAAAGAGCAAAGCGAGCATTGAGACTTTTGGCTTCTCAATTTGTACTCATAGACAACGATCTACATAAAAGGGTACCTATAGGTCGAGCTCTCCTATGCGTAGGAAAGAAGGATGCACAAAGAGTAATGAGAATAGTTCACGAAGGAATCTGTGGCACTCATGTAAACGGCAAAATGTTAGTCCAGAAAATAATGCGAGAAGGATATTATTGGACTACAATGAATAGGGATTGCCATCAGTACGTAAAAAGATGCCCTAACTGCCAAATTTATGCCAATTTACAACATGTCCCTCCATCTTTGCTCTACACCTACACATCGCCATGGCCATTCTCTATATGGGGAATTGACATCATTGGCAAAATCACTCCCCCAGGAACAGGAGGCCACGAATTTATCCTAGTAGCAATTGATTACTTTACAAAGTGGGTCGAAGCGCAATCATACGCCAAACTCACCGCAAAACATGTAGCACTCTTTATCGAAAGAAACATTATTTGTCGATATGGAATCCCACATGAAATGATAAGTGATAATGGAACTCACTTTCAAGCCGAATGTGAAGAATTGCTACAAAAATATGGCATTCAACATCATCATTCTTCGCCTTATAGACCTCAAGCAAACGGAGCAGTAGAGGCAGCTAATAAAAATCTAAAGACTGTCATCGAGAAAATGACGGAAAATTATAAGGATTGGCCTGACAAGCTTCACTTCGCATTGTGGGGTTATCGCACGTCAATCCGTACATCAACAAGAAATACGCCATTTTCCTTGGTATATGGAATGGATGTCGTACAACCTGTTGAACTAGAAATACCATCTCTACGCATCGCGTTAGAGAGTAAACTCGATGAAGTTGAATGGACTAGGGCAAGATACGAAGAATTGATTCTACTCGATGAAAAACGACTAGAAGCTCTACATCACACGCAGTGTTACCAAACACGTATGGCTAGGAATTTTATAAGAAGGATAAGACAAGAAATATCAAAGTAGGAGATTTGGTATTAAAAGCACTAAGGAAAAATGTTTTAGACCCAAGGGGTAAATTTAGACCTAATTGGTCTGGACCCTACATTGTCAAAGCAATCCTGTCAGGAGGTGCAGTAAAACTAACTGATATGGATGGTAATGAATTCTCAAACATGACAAATCTTAACCTACTTAAGAAATACTACCCATAAATTACTTGAGTAGGATACTTAAGAGAGCTACGTTCGGCCTGATTCGTTAAGAAAGGATACGTAGGCAACCCTTTACGGGTGCGGCCACTTTATTTCTCGACATCTCCGCGTTCCAGATTTAATTAAAAATTCAACAGAAAATCGGCGAATTATTGGCGTCGCAGAAAAGAGCCTTGCGCCAGCCAGACGTCTTCAGCGCCAGCCGATGGAATTGGCGCCTGGCGCTAGACTTCAATGGCAGGCGCCAAATGCCAATTACTGGCGCCAATTCGGGAATAAAATTTGGGCGAATTTTGGTGTTTTTTCGGAAAATTTTCGACTTCCGTACTCGAAGAATTTCTGGAAAATTAATTTTTTTCGATTTTAATTGCTTTAATAAAATAAGTTTAAAGGAAATAATTTAATTAAAAGCTAAAATTTCATTAATAAAATAAACTTACATTATTGATTGAATTTAAATAAAAGCTGAAATAAATTAACTTTAAATAAAAATAACAATCGAAGTCTAATAAATCTAAAGCTAAGCAATGCTCTTAATATTTCTTTTCCTTTCTAGCTCTTTTCTAATTCTTGTCTGCTTCCTCCTCTTCAACCATAACTTTAGCTAGTAGGCATCCTATAGAGGACCTACATTCAATTTTGGAGTAGATGCTCTCCCCTTCAGCTAGCACTCCATGCTTCTTTTCCACCCAAGCTTTTTTATTTGTGGTGTTAGCTTTCCTTTTTCCTTTGTCTTTGTTAGTAACTTTCTTCCTAGGCATTGCAGGTGTTTTGAATTCAATTCTTGCACCTAAGCGTTCCTTGGCAGGAGTCACCCTGTCCCCTAGACGATTCTTCACATCGATTCTACCCTGATAAATCGAAGATTTCTTTAACGGCCACTTCTTTACATCATTGGGCAAAGAAGGAGGAACCTTATGGGTAATCACTTCCCATAAAGGTCTAGCGCTCCAGTAAGCGTCGAATCGATCTACTTCTTGAGATACAGGGTACTTAAAGGGAGGTTGAAGATCTCCGGAAGGAACATTCTGTAGCAAGCCGTATTGTCTTTTTACCCTGCAGGGGTAATAATATGTTACACGAGACAAGCTTGGAAGAGGGCAGAAAGGTTGCTTGTTAACACCAACCATCCTTTCTATTTTCCACCATGGGATGACCCACTTCATAGAAAAATCACGTGATTCAAAGACTTTTCTCCACCCATGGCGCCCAATTTTAGGGATGCGCTTCTTCCTTCTCACGAAGTAATTGGGAGTATAATTTTCAATGTCGTCAGGAGGGCTAATTAATCCTAGCCTCTCCGTTAGCCACATCTGTAAAAAAATTGCAATGCAAATAAATTGTTATTACAATACAAAAATATATTTTTTGATTTCTGTAATTAAAAATGTTAATTTTTTTTCTACCTGTAATAAAATTGGAGAACCGCGAGGAGGCGCTTTTGGGTCCCTTTTCAATTTATCTAGACTAATCATAGTCGCTCCAACTATTAATGGCATTGGATTTCTCCCTGATTCAATTTCTTCTAGTACAGTGGTTATAATTGATTGACCCTCATTATTTTTACCACTACTAAGAAAAAGTTGGTTAAGCATGCAAAATAAGAATGCCCTTCTTCTAAATATATGAAAAGATTCAGAAAGAGGTTTATCAAAATAATAGCGTGCAAATTCTTTCAAATTAACTATGTTGCCATCCACTATTCTTGATAAATCCCTTTCTTTCAAATTAAAGAAGCGCTCCAAATCCTTATAATAGTATGCATCTACTCTAGGGATTGCTATAAGATCTATTTCAGGGAAGCCTAAGATAGCACCAAATTCCTCCGACAAAGGGCTAATCTCATCATACCCTATTCTAAAACAATGAGTGTCAACATTCCTAAATTCTAAAGCGGTATGTATGAAGTCTAGGTCAAGATCTACCCCTTTGATGCCATAAATTCCCCCCACGTGAAATAAATCTAATTCTATTCTCTCCCTCGCAATAAGAGATCGACACCATTCATGAGTGTATTGGGTAAAGGTTTTGGTAGCTAAAGACATAATTATTGTTTTTCTAAAGAAGAGAATTATTTATTCGCTGGAATTATGAGAAGAATCGACTGGGCAGGGTGATTTTTATACACAAATTGCGAGGAATTTCAATCAGACTGAAATACGATATCAGCGTCAATTGGCGTCACAATCCCGTGATTGGCACCAACCGCCAGCGCTTGGCACCACACGCTAAGTGTAGCGCCTGGTGCCACACGCCATAGTGTCGCACCGGCGCCAAGTTGCCAGACCAGCCGCGCGTGCTCAACTTGCGTTTTTAATATTAGACTCGAGTTGGTTAATGACTTTATGGCTCCGTTTAATTTTTCTAAACATCTTTTTTATCCTTTTTCTTAATTAATTAAATATAGCTATTATTTTTAATGGATATTATTCCTGTTGGACTTTATTTTAAATTCCAAACACCCGACTTTTTATTCGATTATTTTCCTTTTTTTTTGGGGGGGGAGAGTCGGATACCCTCCATCAATAATGAAAATGACAGAATTTTTGCGCAAAATTGTTGTCATACTTCTCTTGCACTCACAAACATACATATAACAATAAATAGCATAAATATACAAAATGTGTCTATAAATAATGAGTCTAAGGCAAAGTTCTATAAAAAAAAGTCAAAATAAAATTTACACAGGAACAAACTACGGCGCTGGAGAACGTAGGCCCATCATATCATAAAATTGCGATGTACGAGGAGTCACCTCTCCACCAACTCCAGCTGCAGCTTCAGTCTCCGTAGGAAGAGGAAGACTCAATATAGGACCACTCTAGTCAGGATCAACCTGAGGCTGAGGCCGCGGAGCCTGCTACGATGACGAGCCAACCTCGTACATCCCACCACCTCTGAAAGCCGAGGTAGCCTCTCCTACCGGTGCAGCATGAGCACCCTCAGAGGAAGATACCGAGCCCTCTGCAACGTCAGCTCGAGCAGCCTCTGGGCGACCGCCTCTACCCCCTGACGAAGTGTGACGACGTCTCGAACTGGACCTCGGCGGATCCCTCCGCCCCTCAGGTCTTGTGCGGGTGTGAGAAGCAATAGGCTGACCCTACAAAAAGAATTAAATAAAAAACAAAATAAAATTGAAGCAGCAATGCAAAAATAATGAGTAAAGAAATGCTACCTCTCGGACGGCGTAATCCCGACGGCAAGTGGCCGCGTTCCTCATCCGGACGAGTTGGCTCCGGAAGGCATCTATGCGTCGTGCCATAGCCGAGACCACCTCGCGTGAAAACTGTCAGAAAAATAAGTCAGTAAATATGCATGATATATGAACACAAAAGTCTGAAAAAACTAGGCTTACTCGAGTCTGGTGGCGAGGAATCGACCGCTCTACGAAGCACTCGCCCTCGGGAGCCGGAGAAATCATCTCCTCAATCGGCCCGTACATCCCCTGGTAGTGGATGGACATACGGGGTGGCACGAACTCAGCAGCACCGTCCTGATGAGACAAAAAGGTCAGTAAAACATTACTTAGGGGCTACTTAGTGGAAATTAAAGCTAAGAAAACCTTACCCTCACATCCTCAGCCGGTACGGGGGCTGGAGCTAACAAAGGTAATAGCTCCTCAGCATAACACCGCCCGAGGATCACATGGGACTGCCAAGGGTTGCCAGCTCCCTCAGACATGATCGACAACCGCGCCTCGTCGAACATATGATGTGGTGGAGCAGCAGGAACGACGGAGACATCGGAAGAATGCTGTCTAGCAACCCTCTCCCCTAAGTACGCGACCGCTCCATAAGTCCCCAGGAAATAGCGACGCTTAGTAGAATACTGTGCGGGTAACCCAGGGACTGTCCAACCGCCCCACGGCCGGTATACCACCTCAGGTCCCTATAAAAAGCATCAATCAGGCAAGAATATGTCTAAAACACCGCAGAAAAGCAAGATAAACAATAAAAGTTGTACCGAGATGATCCGGTTCCAGACATGTGTAATGGACATGTACACATGGTGACCGCCCCAAGAGCCGGTCAGTGGAAATCCCCGCGGCGATGGTCTCGCCGGCGCAGAAGAAGGAAAATACTCGTAGAACCTTATAAGGAGTTAAAAGTGTGAGCAAATGCTAACTAATATGCAGAGCTAAACCTTATAGGGAATAAATGTTTACCTCTATGACCTTCCAAAAGGTAGACAAAGCAACGTTCGTCCCAAAAGACCGGTGGCGACACGAGTCCCTCAACAGAACGAAGTCAGCATAGGCCAAGCTGGCCCAGTCATAAGTCTCGATCCGGTGAAGATTACGGACAGTAGGAAGATAGTAAAGCAACGCTCTACTACCTTTGGCAGGGGAGAATGTCCCTGACAACAACATCAGCACAAAGATGCGCACCCGCTGCTCTCGGGTGGCCGCATCATCATCAAGAGCCGCTGCCAGCGTCGAGCGGCGAAATCCTCTGGCACTAAACTTAGTCGTTTCGATCTCAGCTCGGGCCCGAATAGCGATCGGCCCCAACAGCTCCTCGACCTCCGAAGAGAAAACTTCGATTCCACTGTCAAGCGGCAGTGGCACAGACGTGAACTCCAGTCCTATGATGAGACCGAAGTCCGTAGGGGTGACCATCATCTCGCCCCAAGGGAAATGGAAAGTGTTGGTGGTATCCCAGAAGAACTCCACCAAAGCGCGCACTACATGATGACCCCCACTGGAGGCAACCAAAGCCTCAGAGGTCTCGAATAGAGAAGCTAGCCCGCAAGACTCCCATAGGAGTCTCGTCTCAAGATCCCTGGCGATGTACATCCTGTACAAATCGTTTAAACCATCACAGCCAGAGTCGTGATGTCGTGTCCTCCCGGGCGCGATGCCCTGTCTCACCCTCTCAAAAATGCGGTGGACAGGGGCGAAGAACAGGGTACGCTCATCCCACTCCGGAAGTCGACCAAGTGAAATGGAAGGCGTGATGTCATCCTCTACGGGCTCATGCTCCCGTCTAGTGTTTCGGGACTGTGAACCCAAGCCTCGCTGTCTAGCCATGCTACATTGTGCAAAATTATCATGAATTAAGGTTCTATAGTATCTAAGGTTCGCCTAGCCGCATGATACTATGCTCGCAAAAACAGAGTACGTAGTACTAAAACAGAGCACAAATTCAAATTAAGCATGACAGCATTTTTCAAGCAATTAAACAATTTCTTGCAACACTATAGTGATTATTGTGACAAATTGAATAAGAATTGCTAGCAAAAATATCAAGAACGAGTCACATTGTTCTTCACGACCTTAAGAGGTCCAATAATGGCCAATTGCTCATTTCTTCGCCAAATCGAGTCAAACAAGTCTAAAATTACTTCCAAAGCAATATATAAACATAATCAAGCAATTTCATGGCATAAAACTTGACAAACAAAGCAAATTGAGCATTATAAGTTTCAAATTTTCATGAAATTCGTGAATAACATGCCAAAAATTCATAAAAACTGATGTGAGTTTAAAGAAAATTTACATAGATCAGGAAAATAGATGAAAAGAGCTTTGATTTGCAACAAATTTGAGCGAATTCGGTTGAGAAACGAGCAAGCAATGAGCAATTGAAGCTTTCGGGTTTCTTCGAGCAGTTTCGCGACGAACAAAGTAGCGAAATGAAGAGGATAAGGGTATTTAAGGAAATCCCCATGCTGGCGCCAGGCTCTATGCATTGGCGTCACAAATTTGGCTTGGCGCCTAGCGCCAATATAAGCGCCTAGCGCAAACACTAATAAGGTGGCGCTGATGGTTTTTCAGTGACGCCAAAGCACTCAGCCACCTGATGAGGTTGTGCTAGCCTTCTGCAACATATTTTTGGGTTCCTTGGTACGTTAGTTAGCCCCTCTAAGCAATTTTACATGATTTAGTAATCGGCTTGATTACATAAAGTGATCGACCTGATAAGAGATCGTCTTACTTTGCTTAAAGCGCCTAAGCATTGGCTCATTAACGAAAGGCACCGACATATAGGTTCAAGATCAAAAGAGCACCGACATACAGTTTTAAAGCAACGGAAGCGCCGACGTACAGGCTTAGCGGAAGCAATGTTCAGGCGAACTTTTAAAGATCTACAGGCGTGGATCTTCGGTAATTTCCTTTGGAAATTTATCGCATCAAATGAGGATGACTTCAAGAGAAGATATCTTCGACAACATTCCCTATCTTGGGGAGGGTTATCACAAGCAACTGGAGGTAATTTCGGGCGAAGTTGTCTTCGATCATATTCCCTTAGGCATGGAAGATGATCATAATGCAGATGAGGATTATTTCAAGAGAAATAATCTTCGATGGTGTTCCCTAGGATGTGGAATATTATCAATGCGGATGAGGATTATTTCGAGAGAAATAATCTTCGATAGTGTTCCCTAGGATGTGGAATATTATCAATGCGGATGAGGATTGTTTCAAGAGAAATAATCTTCGATAGTCTTCCTTAGGATGTGGAATATTATCAATGCGGATGAGGATTGTTTCAAGAGAAATAATCTTCGATAGTATTCCCTTGGACGTGGAATATTATCATTACGGGGAGGATCGTTTATGGCGAAGCAATCTTTTAATTTGGAAGCAGTTACGGGCGTAGCGGTTTTCAAGCGGGATGGCATTCTCTAGCTTGCAGAAGGTCATCAAAACAATTGGTTACTTTCAGAGACGTGTGCTCGACGGTGCAAGATACACGTTTCTTAACTCTTTTATCTGTTTAACTAACGATAGTTTTGCAGGTATCGGCGTTACAAGAGTGATTTAGGATCACAAAACGTTCTGAATCATTCTCCGTCCCTATCGATACTTTGAGTTTTGTTTTCGAAACTCGCGTTTCTCCAAACTCAGTAAAAGTGGGGGCTTCTGTAGACACCCATTTGTGTCTCCCAAAAACCAAACCTAGTGATGAGTACCTTTCGCGTCGAATCATAATCGAAATGAAGCGAAAGTGTGGAAAGTCTAGTGTTGCGGAAAGTTTTTATTTTCTTTTCTCTTCTCTCTGGTTTTGAAAACTTGTTTTAAGAAAACAGCCAATCCAGTTTGGTTGGTCCATGATATGGGTCCAATAGTAGTTTAATTGGATGGGACTTTCAAAGACCTTTCCAACGATATATTATAAGCCCAATTCCGATGAATATTGAGGAAGTTATGGCCAATTTACCAAACTGGGCCCGGTTTGAGCTTTATATACGGCCCAATGATCTAGGGGAGGGCCTAATATGATTTATCATTCCTAATGCAATTAGGAATGGTTTTAGTTTTCTAGACTCTTCTAGAAGGTTCTTTTCGTTCCTAATTCAATTAGCATTGATAAATTGACTTTTGTTGACTTTTCAGAGTTTTAATCAAAATGAAATAGATTTTTCGAAGAAATTATATTATTTTATCCTCCAGTACGGTAAACTTATCGGATTTTCGAAAACGCGTTGGTATCAGGCTTGGCGCTGAACCCCAGGCCTTGGCGCCTGGAACTAGGCCTGGCGCCTGGCGCTTGCCATTGGCGCCTGGCGCTGGTGCTGGTGCCTGGCGCCAGCTCTGTTTTCTGAGCGTCAGACTCTGTTTTGGTTAATTTATCTTTTTGGCTGATTTTCTCTATAAATATTGTATTTAAAACTCTGTTTTCATTCACGATTCATCATTAATTCTCATCTAAATTCATTCATCACCTATTCTCTCTCATCATTCACCAATTATCATCATTCACGAGTTCTCATCTACAATCAGTTTTAAATAGCATTCTATAATCTTTCAATTCTTTCTTTCTTAATTCTTACTTTGCTTTTCTTACAAAATTCCGCAATCTCAAGATCTAGAAACACCTAGCCATATTCGAAGTTGCCTTCGCCCTAGACGTGAAAGGTTTTAATTTCTGAGGGTTTGGTCCCAAATCTCTATTTCAATTATTTAATTTAATTGTTTGTTTATTATTTTCCTTGAAGTTACTAACGTGTGTATTTTGTTATCAGAAAGAGGTACGAGGCATCAAAGTAAGTACTTTAATGGTTTTAATTGATGTTATGATGTAGATATCATGTTTACATTGTTATTATGATATTCCTAGTATCATGTCTAGGGTAATTTTAATATTAAATATGATTCATGCGATGCTTCCAATTCTCTTCCTAATATTTATGATTGTTAGTATCATGTTAGGGTTAAAGATTTGATCTGTATTGCTTAGTGACATGCAAGGGTTTGTTATTAATCTTGTTAGTATCATGCCTATGATCTTGCTATTTTTATTATGCTTTAATATTAACATGAACATGATTATGATTATAATTGTTATAATTGATGATTATTATGGATATTATTATTATTATTATTATTATTATTATTATTATTATTATTATTATTATTATTATTATTATTATTATTATTATT